TCACTGCCTCACCCTCCCTGTCCCTTCCCCTTTCTCGCTTTCTTCTTCCTCCCCCTGCCCTGTTCTCCTCCTCCTCCTCCTCACTTCTCCTCCCCCTCCGCCTACTCCGCCTCCTCCTCTTCCACCTCTTCCTCCTCGTCCTCCTCCTCCTCCTCCTCCTCACTCCTCCTCTCTCCTCCTCCAGCTCCTCCTGCTCCTCTCCTCCTGCTCCTCCTCTCCCTCCTCCTCCTCCTCCTCCACATCATCATCATCATCATCATCATCATCATCATCATCATCATCATCATCATCATCATCATCATCATCATCATCATCATCATCATCATCATCATCATCTTCATCAGCAGCAGCATCATCATCTGCATTCTCATCACCACCACCACCATCATCATCAGCATCAGCATCATCATTATCATCATCAGCATCATCAGCATCATCATCAGCATGATCATCATGATCATCATGATCATCATCATCAGCATCATCAGCATCATCAGCATCATCATCATCATCATCAGCATCATCATCATCATCACCACCAGCATCAGTATCAGTAGCATTATCAGTATCATGAGCATCATCATCGGCATAATCATCAACAACAACATCAACATCAACATCACCATTCCTCCTCATTCCTCATCCCCCTCCTCCCTCCATTTATCCTCCCCTCCTCTCCGATGCCCATTCCTCTCCCCCATTGTCCTCCACTCCCCTGCTCCTCTCCCTCCTCCCCCCTCCTGCCACCTGTCTTGATCTTGGCATCCCCGATTCGTCCCACGCTGCCCCATGTGGTTTCCCATGGTTGCCAGCGTGGACTCCACACTGGGTCTGTGCAAACGGGGTCGTAATGGTGTGGCCCCTCGGGGGCCTGCTGGCTGTCTCGAGGACCACCTTCGGGGAAGCTACTCGAGATGTCAGGTCAGGTTTCCCCTTTTCGGCCCCTCTCGGGGCCCTTCTGGTGCCCTGTTCGGCTCTCATGGGCGCCTAACCGGCCGTCTCGGGGCCTTCTTAGAGGCCTACTGGCAGTCCTCGAACGGTCTCGGGGGCCTTCTCCGCCGCTCTGGAGCGCTGCAAGCCCGCGAAGGCGACCAGGCTGACCTCCTGCACGAGAGCATCATGCACATCGGTGGTGTCTGCCTCCTGGGGCCATCTTGGGGGTCGTGGTGCCCTCTCGAGGCGCCTTGAGCGCCTCTCGCGCCGTCTCGGGGCCGTCTCGGGACCTTCCGGGCGATCGTGCACCGTCTCGGGACCGACTTTGGGGCACATGCTGGGGCCCCCTCTGGCCCGCCTTGTGGCCTCCTGGTCTCTGCATCCGCCACGCGGCTCGCCCCGGGAGGCAGGCGGGAACGGGCGAGGAGCCCCGAGAAACGTGCACCCCTTCGGCCTGCGGCCTCCTGCAGCGGGGGGTCTCCCGCAGACCGCCGCGCCCCCCTCGCGCCAGGGCCCTCGTCGGCGCCGAGGCCGGAGCGCTCGGCCGGAGCGCTCCCCGAAAGCCACCCCCCCGCCCGCGCCCAGGCCGGCGACTCCACGCGCAAGATGGTGGTGATCAGGAAGGTGCCGGCCTTCCGCCACCTGAGCGAGGATCAGGCGGCGCGGGGGGCACGGGGAGGAAGGGGAGGCGGGGCAGGGGGAGGGAGGGGAGGGGGGGGGGGCGGGGCGAGAGGAGGGGCAAACGGAGGCGGGGCGAGAGGAGGAGGCGAGGAAGAGGGGGCGGGGCAGGGGGAGGGAGGGGAGGGGGAGGGGCGGGGCGAGAGGAGGGGCGAGAGGAGGCGGGGCGAGAGGAGGAGAGGAGAGGGCGGGGCGAGAGGGTGTGCAGGTGAGGCAGCAACTGGTAGGAAGGGACGGAAGAACATTACATGAAGAGGAGGAGGCGTAGGAGGAGCCCGTAGCAATTCTGGTTCAGAACATTTCTCACATCGCTCGGAGGGTTTCTTGTCAGTCGCCCCAGGGATCTCCGACAGGGCCGAACCAGATGTTTCTCATGATCCACGTCGTCGTCACTATGTCTCACACGGGCTTGCGAGGGGTATGACACGCATCCGCGGGTAGAGAAAAAACAGTGCCATGCAAGGGGTGGGACGGGGGACAGGGTGTCAAATGTGGTGCGAGCCCATCCAGAATCTCCCCCCTCGTCGTTTTCCTTCCGCCCCTTCCCACCCCACACTCCCCTGCACGCTCTCCTCCTCCTCCTCCTCCTCCTCCTCCTTCTCCTCCTCCTCCTCCTCCTCCTCCTCCTCCTCCTCCTCTTGCCTCCCCCCTTTCTCCTTCCCCTCCTCCATGCCGCGCTGGGGACGCGAGGCCCAAGCGCGGCTTCCGGCGCGCACTCGGCCCGAGAGGTGGCGAAGCTGGTGAACGCCCTCCGGCTGTCGACGTTCAAGAAGAGGGACAAGGTCTTCCAGCAAGGCCCCCCTCCTCCTTCCATCCTTCCATCCGTGATTCCCTGCCTCCCCCACCTCCCTCCCCTCCTCCTCCTCCTCCTCCTCCTCCTCCTCCTCCTCCTCCTCCTCCTCCTCCTCCTCCTCCTGCTCCTCCTCCGCGCTGGTGCGCGCGCTCCCGCGCACGGGGGGGGCCCTCCTCCTCCGCCTTTCCCTGCGGTAGGTTCGTGTTGTGCCGACGCGGTTGCGACCCGGCCGCGGGCTTGCAAGGCGGAGCGCCGTTGGTGGCCCAGAGTGAGAGAATGGGCCAGATGTCCACCGCCCCTCCAGAGCAAGTGGTGATTTCTCTGTCCCACGGCGAGCCCCGCTGGGCTTCGTCGTTGGCTGCAGGCTGGCCTGCGCGACGCTCGTCGTCAGCCCGTGGATCGTCTGCGCCGAGGAAGGGACGACCTGCGGAGGTCCGCGCGGATAGGCGGTGGATCCCCTAGCGCCGACGTCAGAGCCCCCAGTCTGAACCCACTAACTTCGCGGGCGAATCTCCCAGGGGCAGGCATTACGCACGTATTCGCCGGCGCCTCATCGCAGGGGAGCCTCCCGAAGACATGGACCATCGGCGCCCTTGAATACAGGTGTCTTTGGGCAGCTAGGGTCCTGGATGGGAGGGCGGAGCATTCAGCAAGTGCTGCAGTCGGAATTGCTTGCAGCCGTTTCGGGCCAAGGGCGGCGCGCGCTCCTTTGGGCAGCTTTGCGCACAGTGCTTACCGCAATCCTTCCCACGGGGTTGGGCACTCCTACTACAGGCCGCCGCGGGACTGGCCTTCTGCGCGTCCTCCCCGCGGACAGTAGACGCGCGCGCGGCGGGCCCAAGCGCTGGCCCCCTCGCGACCAGTGCTGGCCCAGCCCGCCGAGTCGCGGGAGCGGAACCTGCAGGGCGACGGCGTCACACCCGAGCGGCGGCGGGGACAGCTTGCCCCGTCGGAGAGAAGGGCTACTCCTGGACGCCGCGAGCCGGCGCCCTCCATTCCGCAGGCGCGCTGCTGCCCAAGAAGCGGCCCGCCAGTGCCAGGTCGCGGAGACGCGGCCGCACCGGCAGCGGGCGGCGGCGCCGCGGTGGAGGCGGAGGGGGCTCGCGGGCTCGGCGGCTCGGGCAGCCGAGGGCGCGGGGTGCCCCGAGCGCGCGCGCTTAGCCAGGGGCGCTGCGCGCGGCCGCTGTCGCGGCGCCTCGACGAGCCGAGGCCCACGCCCAGCGCGCGGGCCCTGCCCAGGTGGTGCGACCGGGGCCCCCGTCGCGTCGATCTGCGGCGCTGGCGCTGGGCGCGTTGCGCTTCCGCCCCCCGCGGGGGCGGAAACCGTGGCGCGCGCGGCGGCGGCCAGGATGTCCGCGGCGGCCGCGGGGCCCTTCCCACGGGGGCAGAGGTGGCCAGGGCGTTCGGGCGGGGGTGCTCGCGCTCCGGGCGCGGCGGCGAGGGGCGCGCGAATCGCCGAGGCGGGCTTGAGCGTTCCCACCAAGCGGTAAAGCTACGAGTAACCGCGCTACTGCCATGTCCTCGACCAGGTCGACGTCGTCGGCGACGTCGTCGAGGTCGCCCCAGCGCTTTGGGGCGGCGCGCGCATCCTCGGCGCGACGGCGCGCCAAGCGGGCGCGTCGCCAGCTTGCAGACTTGCGCGTTCGAGGCGCCCTCACCCAGCCCGGCGACGTTTTCGCACAGGAGGTAGTGTCATGCAAGCTCCGTCGGCCCCCGCGGGGACATGCTCGTCCACGCTCGCGAATGCAAATTGGAGGAGTGCACGGCCGAGCCAGAAGACAGGCTGCATTTGCACTCCAGGTCAATCCGCGCCCTCGACCCGAAGGCTTCCGGCAACGCCTGCCAGGAGGAATGGGCGGGCCCGCGGGGCCAGCTGCGGCGCGCGGCGCGCGGCGCAGAGAGTGCCCGCAGCTCTCGCCGCGAAGGGGTCGCTTCGCCCGACGGCAATCGCCCTGGCCGCCATGGGGCCAGGGGCGTCGCGCGACGCAGACTCCCGCGGGGCCTCGTCCGACCTCGGGCGCTTAGCTCAGGCATTACGAGGGGGCGTTCTGCTCTCGACAGCGACGCCACCCCCCGGCCCACAGACGAAGGGGCGCGTCCCGCCCGCAGACGGCGCCCCGAAAGCATCGGCCCACGGCCGGGGGCGGGCGGCCAGGGCGCCCGCCACTGTAGATTGAGCCGCTCGCGCGGCAGAGTCTCGCGCGCGGGGCCACGACGTCGTTCCGGCCCCAGCCATCAGCAATGGTGCAGCCCCAGCAGCCAGTGGCACGACCTCGACGCCGATTGCGAGCAGGTCGTCTGGGCGGGCCTCGCGGCTGCCAGTCCAGGGGGAGGTCGGAGTCGAGCGGCTCCGGGGTTGCATGCGCCCGAGTGCGTCCGGTGGCGGGACGAGGGCGACGGGGTCGGAGTGGCCACTTCAATTCGTCGCGGACCTCGTTCGGCCCAGGCGCATCGGCCTTGTCGTTCGTGGTTGTCAGGTGGTGCCGAGATGCAGGGCATGCGCGAAGCGCCAGATCTCCTGGTCGCAGACGGGCCTTGCGTGACCTCAAGTCAACGGTGGGCCTTGTTCCCCGACGCCCCATCCCTGGGTCCGACCCCGCGGCGCGCCCCCTGCGCCCCAGCCGTCTAGGGCGGGCTGGGGGGCTGCGCGAGGTAGGCGATGGCCGGCAGAAGGGGCGCCCACCCCCTGGAACGAGGAACTATGCTGGGGCTTCTTGCCCGCGAGAGCAGCGATAGGAGTGGGGGCCCCAGTCCCGCCGTGGAGCTGAGCTGCGGCGAATCCGCGGCTCGCCGGGGCCCCTCGCGGGGCCCTCGCCAAACGGGCGGAGAGAGGGGGGGGGGGGGTTCACGAATGAGGAGGATGACGACGAGAAGGATTACCCCGACCGAGCCGACACAGTCTCAGGCCACGCCGCTCCTGGATGGGGGGCTCACATAAGAGACTGCCCTTCGCGGATGCGCTGGAGGGCCTGGGCCCGCATCCTGGCGGGGGCCCCTCTCCTCTTGCGCACTCGCGCACTTTCGCCGAGGAGGTGGGGGGCGAGGGCGACGCGCGGGAGTTTGGGATCTCAGCGGGCGGGCGCCGTTGCATTCGCGCCGCGGGCGGCGCGGCCTGTTCGTTAGCGGGCTGCCGCCGCTCGGCGCGGCCGCCGCGGCGGCGCGGCCTTGCGCCGGGCCGCCCGCGAAGCGCGCGCGCTGTCCCGCGGCGGCGCCGCCGAGGGGTCACGCGTCGGCCGCGCAGCGGCGAGCCGCGCCGCGGCGTGGCGCGCAGGGGCGCAGGAAGGGAGGGCTGGAGAGGAGGTGGGAGAGAGCCATTTTGAGACCGCGAGGGGAGTAAGGCCGCGCAGCGCGCGGCGAAGGAGATGGCGCGCCCGTTCTACACGGCTGGTTCGCGTCGCGCATGGCGGGCGTTGGTTTTTGCGGCCGCGCGGGCCCGGCAACCTTGAACCGTCGCGGCCCCCCGATTGCGCGGATCGCGCGACGTCGGCCGATTCTGGGTCGTTGGCGGCGGCCAACCTTGAACGCCCGCGATGGGGTCGCCGCCGCCTCAGCGCGGCGCCAATTTGCACCGTGCCCCGCGAGCAGCTACGCAGCGTAGTCGGCGCCTTCTTTGGGGGCAACCATAGGGAGCGATAGGCTCATTGATCGCCGACGGGGACCACCGCCCCCCCGCCTCGCCCAGGAACGCGCGGTTTCCCGATCGGGGGCCGGTCGCCAATCCAGCGGAAATGTATCGCTGATTCCAAAGTAGACGTTGCCCCCCCCATGCGCCGCGAAAATGTTGCAGGCCTGGTCGTTGGCGACACCTGCATGTTTCTAACTCTAACCTCACTGTGCGCTGCCCTCAAGGCGCGCTCGTCTCCGGGGGGCGCCCCGACTCATGGCGCGGGCTCTGCCCCCTAGGGGGTGGGCGCATGCGGATGGGCACTCGGGCGCACTCATCTTTTCCATTGATCATCAGCCGTTATTGCTTTGTTTTTTGGGCAACGTGACCGCCGTCGACTATTTCGGCAGGAAGCTACGGAGTCGGCGGCGACGCCCACGTTTGCCAACCCGTTTTTTTTCCCATGTGTCCAGCGCGGAAGAGATATCTCGACGTTGCCCCATTGTCGAGTTTAGTTTATTTGTTCTTGGCTCATCCATGGTGCGTGCGCTCTCTCTGTCCATGCATTGCATGTCTCCTGTCGCGCCATGTGTCCATCCGAGCGAGGCCGCTGCCTGCGATTGTTTCCCTTCTCCGGTGCGCTCCTGCACGTGCGCGTCTTCACCTCTCCCCGCGCTCGTTGTGGAGCGGCGTCGTCAGACGTTTCCCCCGACTTGTAAGCGGGCTGCATAGGCGAGCAGGTGAGGCCGCGGCCTTTGCCCGCGAATCCGAAGTCCAGGCAGATCTCAGCCGCTGCCCTGGTCTCCGCCTGTATTCTCTGGCGCGCCAAGGCGCAGGGGCACCTAGCTGCGAAAAGCAGCCGGTGGGGACCATGAGCATTCTTCATTATTTGCTGTGTGGATGATGGTTGTCGCTGTCTGCATGTCACATTTTCGAGTCGCGGAGTTTGCGCGGTGTCCAGAAGTGAGGTTACTCTTCTTCTTCTGCTTCTCGCTGCAGGTGCATGGGCGCGCGCGGGGAGAGGGGGCGCCCCCCCCCCTCCCCCTTCCTTCGCGAGACAGTTAGGGGACTTCTGAGGGGGGGTCGCAGCCCCGCAAACTGACACCCTTCACCACGGAACATTAAAAAACATGTTCGAGGTGGCCATAGCCCAGGCCTCTCCGATAAGAGCAGCCCATTTTCGGCGGGGTCGGCGCGGCCCTCATCGCGAAGAGCGGCCCCCATGTTGGGCGGGCGCCACGCATCCCTCATTGCGAAGAGCACCCAGTGTTGGGTGGGGTGGCATGAATTGCCCATGTCGCCTCGCGTCGGGGAGGGGGCGGCGGCGCTTCGGCGACCGGGGCCCCGCTCTGGGGAGCTGCGCCCTGAGAACCCAACTCGTCGAGCTCGCATCGTTCA